TCTTTGATCCACCTAATATGATTCCTATCTTTCATGGAGTCCTAATAATAATAATAATAATAATAATAATAATAATAATAATAATAATAATAATAATAATAATAATAATAATAATAATAATAATAATAATAATAATTAAAAAAGTATCTTTCACGCTGACTTAGACAGTTTGGGGACCTGTTATCTTATATACTCAAACAAGTAACAACATGTGGGCGGAAGAAATATTCCATTTCTCTTGATGAGCTAACACAACTTGGGCACCAGGATGATTAATAACACCATCCACGAAAGTGTGGCGAGAAAGGAACACCAAGTCCGGCGTAGTGTAGTCACATGATAAATGAATGATATACACGTAGCTTTCTTATGACTTCACGCAACAATTGCATGCTTAAAATGCATCTGCAATATATATACTCCAATGCTCTTGGATGCGTGCCGCTTCGTGCTTCGTGACCTATAAAAAAATTAGTGCTCCTCTAGCTTAATAATAGGATTTATGCATGGGTGCACAAAATGAACTTTGAAGCATTGGAGGGCACCAAAATATCATTAGATCAAACATAATTATCAAGTTTATACCATGGACGCACTCCCTTCAATTCGTCTATATACTTAACATGTACACCTCACTCAGCTCATGTACTACATGTGGCAACCGATACATATGTACACCTCACCCAGCTCATATAGTACATCTGGCAACCGAGACATACTTAGGGGTGGATCTAGAGTAGATAACCATTGATGTCACTTGTGTTAAGAACGTGACCATTAGCCTTATTGTTCGTTAGATAAACAACACTTTAGCCTTAGATTTAAAAAATCTATTGCTGTCAAGTGACAACACCCAAATGGCCTGGCTCCGCGCCTGGACATACTAGTTGCTCATGGTGTTCAGAGAAGGGCTAGCATCGATCTTTCCAGCTAGGGAAGGAGATGAGTATCACAACCAATTTGTTCTGTTTTGTTGATGCAACGAGGTGGTGTCCAGTTGTCTTGAATAATTTCCTGGTGTACAGTTGTCTTGAATAATTTCCTTTTAACAACTTTAACTAAATGTACATTAGATGTAATTTCATTCTGCCCTCCGTATTCACACTCTTTTGTTATTGCAACTTTTAGTTGAATGCATAGTAGAAGTAAGCTCGAGCTGCCATGCACATCCTAACGTTATTTGCCATCCACTTCATTTTATAGGTCCTTTGTAAGTTGTAGCTACATACAAACTTGTGTTTAGTGTCAATGGTCGGCATAAAGCGGAGTGACAAAACTCGATGCTCTACTATTCGTTCTCCTTTGAGCTCAGGTGCAGTCATCATGAGCTGACCATGATGTCTACCAGCGACCAAGAGAGGCCCATGACGTGCCCTTCTATGGAGAAAATCCGTTTCTTATTTTTTGTTTAATCTGTGCTGTTGTGGTTTATTTCATATTTTTTAACATGTGGTGTTTGCAAAAAATTCAATTGATGATGAATCTAAAACACACTGCCAATGTTCACTTTGCCTCATTTTAATCACATAACTTTGGTACAAGTAGGGAGCTAGCAAACACAACATTAAAAAAAAAAGCGATCCACTAGGGGAGACTCCCTTGGGGTGTCGCACTAAGCAGATGCCGCGCTCCGAACCCGGGGCAAACACAACCTTCAAAGTACGCAGATTCACAAAAAAACATCCAAAGTATGCACACCATGCATGAATGATAAAAATAGAAACTTTCTCAAAAAAAAGAATGATAAATAGAAACATGCATGTATTTATGGTCTTTTTCCCTTAAAAAAACCATGCATGTGCTGTCATGCACTTTGGGCTAGCTCTTCGTTCGGCGTACCTAATAAACTTCTAATTCTCAAATTAGTTGCCTCGACCACAGTAAAAAAAACTCCAAAAAAAAGCTAAAGCACCAAACACGGAAGTTTTCATGCAGGGAGTTTCTCCAACCAAACGGATTCATTACTTCTACTAGTAGCTGGACGGCTTAAACTTAATTTTAAACCATTTCAAATAATATATTGGGCCTACATTTCCCTGTTGAGCTCAAGAGCAAGTGGGCTGACTTCCATGTCTACCTCCAACTAAGCCGCCCATAGCCCACCAACTAATGTGGCTCCTCTCTAAACTAAATCCGTTTCTTAAAACAAAATTTGATGAATCTGAAGCATATATATTGCCAATGTTCGGTTGGGTTCATTTTTATTTCCTTGATCCTAATAAAAGTGCACACACAAATGCTTGAATGATAAATAGAACATGGTTTCTTTTTTTCCCCTTAATTAATGGCATAAATTCTCATGCAATTTGCCCTCTTCCGTGTACCTAACCTAAGCTGCCAATTCACAAATCGGTTGACTTGTTTTGAACAAAGATAGAGATTTCATTTCATAACAAAGAATTCCAATTGCTTTGTGAAACTTTTATATGTGCGTGACATTTTCTGATCTTAGTGAGAAATGAAAGGGGAACAGAAGAACAAAAAGGCTCACTGACAAGTGGGTCCTCCATGTCAGTGGACATAAATAGGACATGATTTTCTCAATCCCCCGCTGGACATCACCTATATATAACCTAAAATTATGTTTTCTTAGTGCCTTTTAACTAATAGAGGGAGTTGACTTTTCTCAATTTGAAGATGCCCATTAGCACTTGGCAGCCAATGCGGCGAGCAAGGCGATGGACTAAATGCCAATCGATCTTATAATCTGTCTTTTTCAGCTTGTTTTTTCAGTCGAAATAGTGTTAATCGATCTTATAATCCGTCTTTTTCAGCTTGTTTTTTCAGTCGAAATAGTGTTTTTCTCTCACAACAAAGTAGTCGGAACAATGTTTCGGCTTGTTTTTTCAGCGAAGCGAACGGAGCGATACCGTGACAGCCATCAAGGGTAATGGTAACAGTAGGGAAGACAACATGCAGGACCACTGCTATTCCAGTACATATGTGTGTGTTCCCGAGAGATGGACAAAATGATGACAATGAACCACTGCAACTGCGATTAGGCATACATAGAACCTTTTGTTGATCTATGTTCTAATCTGGTCTTAGCCAACTGATGGTCCTCTACAACTCCAGTTTTATTTGTGCTGCCTGCTGTTCCAAAAAAAAAAAAACATCTGCAACTGTTCAGTCCATTTCTCTGCTTCGACTGACACAAATGTCGGCACACCCAGCAGGGTCCATACCACCATCCATTGAAGTACCGATTGAAAGGAACATACGAATGACACGGTGATAAATAAATCATATACATGTATTTTTTACATGACTTCCGTCAACAACGGTGTGATTAGCTTACACACATGCGTCTATCACTATATATAGCCCAGTGCCGCAAGATGTACGTACCACTCAAAGTGCTTTTTTGAGCTAGCAAGAAATTTGTGCTATATCCTTTTTCCCTTCACAAGATCTATTGGGCCACATGACAAGATCTATTGGTCTACAAGATGACATTAAACTGTATCTGAAGCATTGGAGGAGACCAAATTACCACCATAAGTCCATAACTAATTGAAAGGTCAAATCAGTCAAAGTACGCAAGAAATTTTTAGCATGAATTCTCACGCCAGTTCAATTTAATTAGATTGTAAATTTCTGGAGAGCTTGGTATTTGTAGAGTGACACAGTACATGGCACAAACATTGCTAGCATTGCCAACTGCCTGCATTTTTCTGATATGCTTTTGGCAATCCATTGAAATGAAGAGCAAGTTGAGAACCTTTGTGTGAGCTTGTGTGATCAAATTAGAGAGCTAGTCAAGTCTTAGAATTTTTTGATAGCATCAAGTCCATGGTGAAGCATTTGTTAAGTATTTTTTGATAGCGTCAAGCCCATGGTGAAGCATTTGTTAAGTATTTTTTGATAGCGTCAAGCCCATGGTGAAGCATTTGTTACTTTCCAAATCAAGTTATCCTAAATGAAATTATTTATTATGGGACAATTCTATATTTTTTGTGGAATGACTCTATTGCTTACCCTAAATTTAGTTTATTTTGATGATCAACCGTGATGGATTAAGGGCCTATTTGGTTGGTACCGTAGTTTGTCACGCGTAACCTTCGGCAAACTGTGCTGCCGCAGAAAGTATGGCGAGCAAAATCGAAGCCACATTTGTGGCTAAGTTTGACATAAAAATGAGTTTATGACATGTAGAACAAGGTGCTCAGAAAGTGTGGCGCCATAATTGTGGCAGTGAACCAAACAGTTGCCATGAAAACTATGGCATGACTAATCTTTAGCGTGACAAAATGGTCACAAACTAAACGGTCTCTAAGCCTAACATACTCTTTCTTAAAAACAAGAAGAGAAAAAAAAGTGAGAGATGAGAGGATTCATCACCAATTCACTCAAATCTTGTTTGGCTATTTTTTTTTATCAACCTCGTCCACAGGCATCTAAACAAAATGTTATTAGTACTTTCTTCAGGCCGCTCATAAGGCATGCAAAGGGTCAGCGTGTGTGGTGTGCACTCCAAAGACCAGATGAGACTGCGAACTGATCTATTAACTGATTATAGATCAGTTGGGTAGGTTTCTCGTGGTGGAAAGTTTTCGACTCGACACATGTGCTTGTATTTTCCTGAATTTATTCTATGATTTAACGGCGCTATACTTTTAGTGGCAGGTGACGTCCCCGTCGACAGCGAGGCGTCAGTGGTGACTTCGTGAATCTTGAGATCTGCCGGCTCAGTTCTTCGGAGGTGCTTGTAGAGGTAGAGTTTACGTACGTATGTTCATAGGGGTAAGTGTGTACGTATTGTGATCTGGGTTGTACCGTATATAATTTAATTAAAAAAAAGACCAGACGAGACTACCATCTTCTATCGTCATCGTCGTGATCCATAGCACCTCTTGCCTTCGCACACCGAGCCCGTTCCCCCCGTGGGGCGAACTAGCAGCAGTAAAAAGCAACGACACCGACGACCTACCTCCCTTTCCCTGCTTCCTCCAACTCTCTTCTTGTCTCTGCAACGCCGAGGCACACAGCCGAAGGCAACCATGGATCAGCAGCAGCAGCAAGGGCCCGACGCGGCGGCGGCCAGGCGGATGGCCACGCTCGCCTCGCACCTACGCCCGCACCCCGCCTCTCACCCTCTGGTCAGCCACCGCGCTCCCCCCTGCCTCTTCCCCCTTTCCGGCTCGTTTAGTTCGTCCTCCGGATCAGGGGTCGGCGGCGGTTCGCTTGGATTCGCTTCGCCGCGGGCCGCCGGTCGCCCTCCCGTTTCTCGGCTCCAACATCCTAGTCGCCCAGCTGCCGCTGTGAATTGGAGCCCCAACCTTCGCCGCAGCGCCGGCTCCCCTCAAAGCTGGGACCTTGGCATCAAAGGAGGCTCCTTTGGTCCGGATGGGATGGGAGCCCTGTTGACATTTTGACTTCCAGTACCACCTGCCCACCACTGTCTTGGATCGTCGATCGGGTTGTGGATGCTTACGAGTACCAACGGCTGCTCTGTTTTGCTTGTGCAAGAGCCGAATTGATTTGTACGGGGATTACTGATTCAATTCTTGTTCCTGAATGTATCTACTGCCAAATGTTGAGCGGATGGCAGATATATTTACTGCATTGTGCGTGGTGGTAGCATCGCTCGCATTTTACTAAATTGCAGCTGGAAAGTAGTTTGTGCGCCTAAATGTGCGCAAATCTGACAAATACTGGAATCCGATCGAGTCTCTTAGCAATCACCTTACAGTTATAGGTTTTATTCCTTACTTTCTGATACTTGAATGACGATGGCTACCTTGTAAACCACATGTGACATGGTTTTAACAGAATGCCACCTGAATCTAGTGATGAACACAAAGCTTCCTCCTCATCTTTTCGGAACCTTTTTTATATTGATTGCCAACGACCTGTCTAGGGATTTTAGAATTTTGTTCAAATTAGTCACACCGATGATCATATCTGACTTGCTATCTACAAGTTTCTACCTTCTTCAGAATAAAATAGTCACACTGATGATCACATCTGACATATGCTAGCTAAAAGTTTCTACCTTCTTCAGAATTACTTTCCATATCTGCTAAAATTTCTCCTGTTGCTTTGTTTTGAAGGTGGAGGACGTTCCCCTCCTGAGGGGATCCAATTGCCGTGCAAAAGGTGCGGCACCAGGCTTCAAAGTCGCGATCTTGGGTGCAGCAGGTGGGATCGGGCAGCCACTCGCACTATTGATGAAGATGAACCCTCTTGTTTCGGTGCTCCATCTATATGATGTCGTCAACACACCTGGTGTCACAGCCGACATCAGCCACATGAACACTGGTGCTGTGGTATGCTCAACTTTATCTGAGATCACTTTACGATATTTTTGAATGTTGATTCTGAAGAATTGAACGGTAGATTACTGTTGCAGCTAGTTGATGGTAGACCTCTACTGCAGTCGGTTCCCATCTGGACTCTTAGGTCATATTTAGAGGACATAAGGTGCTTCCGCCTGCATCTGCAAATGCGTTTAGTTACTGGCTACTGTACTTAAGACTTGTCCTGAAGTCCTAAATTTTGTCACTGGAACGCTTGGGAAACAAATAGGAGTTCCCCTGTCAAAATATAGCTACACTTTTTTTACCCTGATTTCTTCAGATAACTATTGAAGATTTTTTTGATAATGTCTGACCACTCACTGATAATTGTGGACAAAGCTCAAAACAGAAACAACTTTGACCTACTTGGTTACTTTCAGTTTTCCAATATAAGAGTTTATTTTTTGTTGGCTTCTGGTTATCATACAAACATAAAATTATTCTTTCTGTTCGCCATTATGTCTATTTTTTATCTTTGGTGTAATTATGCCAAACTCTAAATTCTACAGGTACGTGGTTTCTTGGGCCAACCACAGTTGGAAAATGCCCTGACTGGAATGGATCTTGTAATAATTCCTGCTGGTGTCCCTCGGAAACCTGGGATGACAAGGGATGATTTGTTCAACATAAATGCTGGAATAGTCCGTACCCTGTGTGAAGGAATTGCAAAATGCTGCCCAAATGCAATTGCGAATGTGATCAGTAATCCTGTCAACTCTACTGTTCCAATTGCTGCTGAAGTTTTCAAGAAAGCTGGAACTTATGACCCTAAGCGTCTTTTGGGTGTGACCACACTTGATGTAGTGAGAGCAAATACTTTTGTGGTATGTATATCAATAGGGTCTGCCATGATATGCTATACAATATTGTATTTCTTCTTGGGCTCAAAATTTATAAATTTTCTGTTTACAGGGAGAGGTTCTTGGACTTGACCCCAGAGAGGTCAATGTTCCAGTTATCGGTGGGCATGCAGGAATTACGATACTACCACTCCTTTCACAGGTCAGGAGTAACTTCAAATTTCAATCGCTACAAAATTCTGAACCATGTACACCCTGTATGACGGAAATATTAGAAAATCAGTGACATTTCATTTATTTTGATGCTCTGCCTTTTTCAATAGGTGAATCCTTCCTGCTCATTCACGTCAGAAGAGGTTAAATACCTCACTTCTACGCATACAGAATGGTGGGACAGAAGTAGTCGAGGTATACTTTTTTCCTTACAGTCTACTAGTACTCCTATGCTGCATCTCTATGCACAATGAGGGAAGAAAAGTCAGTTCCACAAATTCCTTTTTAGTTTCTCTGCTATGTATACTGTATGCACGCTGATTTCATTTGTTTGGCTGAATTGAGCAGAGAAAGAATCTGTGTGCTTAATTTTGAGAATAAGAGTTAGATCACTAGTAAAATATCTGTGCCAGTTTATGGACAATCGTTATGTTATATGAGACACACTAGGCACATATGTGCATGATTGTTACATCTTGATCCTGACAACAAGAGTCTATTATTATGTGCCTGTTTATGTGTAACAAAACCTTCCTAATTTCCTATCATTTTCATGCCAATGTAACATACTAGAGTTTTGGTATTTGTTATTTACATATGTTTTGTTAAGTGAAGGTCTTGTGCTTGTTATTTTTTTTTTCCAAACTCTGGATTGCTCTGCTACATAAAAAATCCTTTTTGCTTATTATTGGTATATTTCAGGCTAAAGCTGGAGCAGGATCAGCAACTCTTTCAATGGTTGGTATCTTGTATGCACATCAATGTCCATAATGTTTAAGTTTCAAATGTTGATTCAGTTAACACTAATACTACCTTTGCAGGCCTATGCAGCTGCCAAATTTGCAGATGCTTGCCTGAGAGGATTGCGTGGTGATGGTGGGATAGTAGAGTGCTCTTATGTAGCTTCTCAGGTTTCTTTTCTTTCTTGTATACAGTTCAAAACCATCATTCAGGTTTTGCTTTGATTGACCTTTTTGTTGATCCAAATTATTGATTTGTTTCCCTTGTGTTGTGGTTGAAGGTCACAGAGCTGCCATTCTTTGCATCCAAAGTGCAGTTAGGGCGAGGTGGCATTGAGGAGATCCTACCACTTGGGCCATTAAATGAGTTTGAGAGGTCTGTATTCTGTACTCAAACTTACAACTACTCAGGTTCTTGTTTTGAATTGAAGTTGCATGCTCTGCATGATTCAACACCCGTGCCACACATGCTTTCCACTGAAGTATATCTCAAGCAAATTTAGTTTGTTCTGCTTTTTGTCTAGAACAACAGGTTCATCTTGCCCACTTATGTCACCCCACATGATTTGGATCTGCCAGATTGTAGTACATAATGATAAGCCATTTTTATGTCTTCTTTTCTTCTGCACATAACGATCTGCCAGATTTGGATCTGCCAGATTGTAGTATATGAGATGTGACTTCGGCACTACTACTCGGGAGGAGGAAGATGTTAGTTTGGAAGGTCAAGTAGTGCCTAGGATGGATACCTTTCGATATTTAGGATCAATGCTACAGGGGGATGGAGATATTGATGAAGATGTTCGCCATAGAATCAAAGCAGGGTGGATGAAGTGGCGGCAAGCGTCTGGTGTCCTATGTGACAAAAGGGTACCACAGAAGCTAAAAGGCAAGTTTTATAGGACGGCGATTAGACCTGCTATGTTGTATGGTGCAGAATGTTGGCCTACGAAAAGACGACATATTCAACAGCTAAGTGTCGCGGAAATGCGTATGTTGCGTTGGATTTGCGGGCATACAAGAAGGGATCGAGTTCGGAACGATGATATACGTGAGAGATTAGGGGTAGCGCCAATTGAAGAAAAGCTTGTCCAACACCGGTTGAGATGGTTTGGACATGTGCAACGGAGACCTTCAGATGCACCGGTGCGTAGTGGAATCCTAAGTCAGGATAGTAACGTGAAGAGAGGCAGAGGAAGACCGAAGTTGACTTGGGTAGAGGCAATAAAAGGAGACTTGAAAGGATGGAATATACCCAAAGACTTAGCCTTAGATAGGAATGCTTGGAAGACAGCTATTCACGTGCCTGAACCTTGATTGTTTCTGTTGGGTTTCAACTCTAGCCTACCCCAACTTGTTTGGGACTTAAAGGCTTTGTTGTTGTTGTTGTTGTTGCTGCTTTTCTTCTGCACATGGACCTATTGGTCATACAGTTCACTGGAGAAAGCTTGAATGCGTCATGTATGCAGCCATGCGTGTTCCTGCATAAAAAGACAACCCTGAAGGAACATAACTAGTGGACTGAAATCATATGACTTTTCAGCGGCATAGAAATACCACGGTCACATTATTCTTCACTGCCTGTTAGTACTGATGTAGGCTGAGGATGAATCATCAAACACGCAGGATGATAGGAGTATGTATCGTTGAATGCCATTATTTCATATCATTTATCTATTATGCCGTATCAATTGTTATTGATATCCTAGAGCTCTTCTGACCTGCATCACTTCGTTTTCTTCACACATTCACACATCACTGTCATGCAGAGCTGGTCTGGAGAAGGCAAAGAAAGAGCTGGGCAAGAGTATCCAGAAGGGCGTCTCTTTCATCAACAAGTGAGGCCGGCCAGCCCAACATAGAAATAGATGTGGCGTGTTTTGGCTTCCTGAAAACTCTTATCTTGTTATCTTCTCTGTGTAAAACTGTGTACATGGCACGAATAATCTACATACACGGCTGTACTAAAAAATGATAAATCTGTGGTCGCCAAAAAAGGAAATAGAGAAGTGTGGTAATAAAAGTTGTTTCTGAACAAATGGGGTTCTGAAGTCTGAATGTTGCCCCAATGTACGGGATCAGATGTACTGTATGATATTAGATAATACATTTGCAGTCTCGATGCAGAGCAAGGTTGCATTGCAGCTGAGATGCCAATGGAACTGTGTAGAAATCACAACTGAGACTGTGTCCTTCATTATGTTGTTTAGTCACATAAATCCATGACGGGATTTGTGCATGATGAGTTAACTTGTACGGTCTTCAGTTATATTGTTCTCTATTATGTACTTTCTGAAATTTTGTTCTCTATTGTTGGGAAAGATGAGAAAATTTGGCTGTGGTGGGGGTAAAAGAAAGGAGTCAGGTAAGATTTGACATTTCCCACGGTGAAAAAAAGATGATTTTTTGATTGACAACTTGCCTCATACAGTTTGAATCTGTTGGTTGGTAATGCTCGATCTGATGTTGGTGAGAACTGAGAAGGAACCCGTGGGTGCAGAAAGTGATCAACACATAAATATTTATAGTTTTATCGTATGTTGTGATCGGAGGTGGTCTAGCACTCAATGATACAGAGTTTATACTGGTTCAGACAACGTGCTCTACGTCCAGTTTGAGTCGGTCGGTGATTTTATTTCTGAGACTAGATGCTCGAAGTTTACAGTGGGATTACAAACGAGAAGGAGAAAGATGGGGGTACGAGAGGTCCGGTCGGACTCCGGTCGGAAGGACCGAGAGCGACATGAGCTCCGCTATTAGCTAAGTGTTTAAACGTGCGCTTGAGGTCGAACCTGGTGGTTCTGTGGTTGTGAACTAGTGAACTTGGTCGATCTAATGAATATGGAATGACTTGAATCTGCCTGGATCAACTTGGATTGTTAGGAGAGAGCACATTTCCTTTTATACATGAAGGGGATGGCCTTACAAGTGAGAGGGAGAGAGTACGTATGCTTCTAATCCTTGTTGCCCATGCCGGCGGGTACGGGATGACGGTAGGCGCCCACAACACTGTTGATGTTACTGTTTAATGTCAGATGCATGTGGAAGGTTTGTGTTATCTTCTTGGGGTGTGGCAGACATCGGCACCTGCCATACTGTCGATGCCCAGAGGCATGTGAGGGCTTTTACCATGTTCTCCTGGTACGGTGAAAGCCGGCGCCCACAATACTGTTGATGTCCAGAGACATCGGGGGCCTTACCGTATGAGAGTCAATGACGCCCACAACATCTAGGGAAACGCGTCGGTGCCTACAACCGTGTGTGTCGTGGAGGTTGTAAATCATGTTTACGCAGACGCGTCTGTGGTACGGTCCTCGTGTCATGGTTTGACTTGTGCGCCCTGCCTTGCTTTCTCTGTTCGTTCCCTGGTCCTTTCCGAGCGGGCGTCCCCGGTCGGTTGGTTCCATCGGTTCGATCAAGGCCGATCGGAGAAGAGCAATGAGCAAGGTTTTGCGTACCCAGTCGGAGACGCGGGTTGAGTCGGAAGTAGTGTTTTGGCTAGGCCATTCGGTCGGAGAGGCCGTCCGGAGGTGGGCTGGAGACCGAAGCGAGCGCTCCGGTCGGAGAGGTGGGCTAGAGTTGGAAGGCGGGTGTCGTTCCTCCCTGGCCGGGCCTTCCGGTCGGTGATTGAATCGCCCTCCTGGTCTGTCGTTCCGATACTTGGGCCGGCCCATGAGTTTGCGCGTTGTCTGCTTGGGCCAAGCCTTTGTTGGGAAGCCGGTCTGCGAGGGACCCCGGGTTTATGAACCCGACAGGAGCCCCCGAGCCCTCGGGCGATTCGGGTAGAATCGTCTGAGGGATTTTTGTCTTGATGGCGGGTGCGCGCGAGCTCACCCGCGGGTGTAGCCCCAGAGCCCTCGGGTGATTCGGGTAGAATCGTCCGGGGGGTTTTTCGTGTTGCCAGCAGGGGAGGTTTTTGTTTTTGTCAGCGGGTGCACGCGAGCGCACCAGCGGTTGTAGCCCCCGAGCCCCCAGGCGATTCGGGTAGAGTCATCTGGGGGATGTTTGTTAGCAGGCGTGCATGCATGATTTTTAGACGAGATGGAGTCGTCTACCAAGGCGTCGTTGCGTAGCCAAGGTGGTTAGTTTTGGGATCGGGCGAGGTAGAGCTCGTGGATCCTGGCGTCGGTGCGCGTCGTGGGACTGGGCGAGACAGTTAGTATAGGGATCAGACGAGACGGAGCTTGCTGATCCGGGCGTCGGTGCGCGCCATGGGATCGGGCGAGTCGGAGTAGTGGATCCTGACGTCGGTGCGCGCCGTGGGATCGAGGTAGTTAGTTTAGGGATCGGATGAGACGGTGCTCGCGGATCCTGGCGTCGGTGCGCGCCGTGGGATCGGGCGAGTCGGAGTCGTGGATCCTGATGGGGCGAGTTTGGGGTCGTAGACCCAGGAGTTTTGGAGTGAAGGCGTAGCCGGATGGGGCGAGTTTGGGGTCGCAGACCTAGGAGTTTTGGAGTGTGAGCATGGCCGGATGGGCGAAGTTCGGGTTGTGAGACCTGGGAGTTTTGGAGTGCGGCGTGGCCGGATGGGGGAAGTTCGAATCGCAGACCTAGGAGTTTGGAGGCGTAGCGGATGGGGGGGCGAGTTTGGGGTCGTAGACCCAGGAGTTTTGGGGTCGCAGACCTAGGAGTTTTGGAGTGCAGGCATAGCCGGATGGGGCGAGTTCGGGGTCGCAGACCCAGGAGTTTTGGAGTGCAGGCGTAGCCGGATGGGGCGAGTTCGGGGTCGCAGACCTAGGAGTTTTGGAGTGCAGGCGTAGCCGGATGGGGCGAGTTTGGGGTCGTAGACCCAGGAGTTTTGGAGTGCAGGCGTAGCCGGATGGGACGAGTTCGGGGTCGCAGACCCTGGCCTTGGTGCAATCCGCGCAGCCGAGGCAGTTAGTTGGTTAGTTTTGAGATCGGACGAGACGGTGCTCGCGGATCCTGGCATCGGTGCGCGCCATGGGATCGGGCGAGTCAGAGTCGTGGATCCTGAAGGGCGAGTTCGGGGTCACAGACCCAGGCATTTTGGTTTCTTGAGCCCCCGAGCCCCGTTGGGCCTTAGTAGGGGTCGGTTTGAGTTGTGTGCGTTACCCCGTCCTCGGTTCCTCACAACTGAAGGGGCTGAGTTTTGTCGCTTGTCCTGATCGCTCGGGCTCGAGTGACGCGCTTGGTGAGTTTGCTAACGGGTATGATTGAGCAGAATCTGGGTCAATCGTTCGTGACGGGGTCGGCATAACCCTCTTGTGACATTCCACTACTCCCTTACCTGCAACCCGGTAGATGCCTTGGTCGTTCCGGAGACCGACTCGTGTGGCCTAATGGCCTCCCCTCGATGGAGATTCTGTAGGTTCGGCAGAGGTTTAGGATTGAGTGAGAAGGTTGAGATGACCCTGTCTGCCAGACTGGGCGAGGGCCGCATGGGGCTCATCTATGATTTCTCCCCTGGCTCTGTTGTTGCTCATGTCGAATGAGGCAACCGCTGCTTCGTGACGCAACACGAAGCGTTATGGTGCATTTCGTTGCATGTGCGATGCTTAGTTCCCGAGCCCCCGGGCGGTTCAGGGCCTGAATCGTCCCGGGGGGCACGGGCGTATGGAATGAATGCGCGTATGGATGTATGAAATGATTTAAAGTAAATAAAGAAATAGTGGGGGTCGGTAGTGTTACCTGGATGACTCGAGTGATGAGGTTTGAAGAGCTCCAGTCGGAAATGTCCGACCGGGACCCTTGCTCGTCGTTCGTGACGGAGTCGGCATGGCCTATACGTGGCGTCCCTTCGCTCCCTACTTGTCCCTCGGCATTTTTCCTGAGTTGTTTGATTGACTTAAGAAGCCCGACGGTCTCTCCTGGCGGAGATCTCGTTTTGGTTTTTTTTTCTAAGTCCCGCCTGGGGATGCGGAGAGCCGCCTGTGTGCGGTGGCGCTTTGGTTCTCGTGCCCATCGTGCGGTAGTGGCTGGCGTGCGGTAGTGGTGGGCCATACCTGTGGCACGTCCCCGCTCCGATCGGGGAGCTGTTCGCCGGGTAGGGCACGTCTCATCGGGCATTAAATCGGAAAGAGAGAGGGTTTTTCGCTCCGCCGTTTTGACTTTCCCGATCGGCGCGTCCTCCCCTAACTGTTGTACCCTTTTCCTTAAGTAGGAGAAGGGAGAAGGTTTTCGCCCTGTTCTTTTGCCTGTTCTTCATCTGCCGCCTCCTTTCCTTTTCCTTCTTACCGAGAGCATTCTTGAGAGCCACGGTGGTTTCTAGGAAAGAAAAATGGAGAGAGCGAGGGAGAAGAGAAAAACTCACAAATCCTTTTGTGATCCCGGAGTGAAATGTTGGACTGGAGGTCGTCCACTGTGAGGGAGTCGGTGTTGAAGGCCTTCGCCGTGAAGGGGTTTCTGCCGCCGAAGGAGGTGGCGCACTGGAGGGCTCCCGGGAGGGAGGTGTTCCCGCAACCTCAGCCTGACGAGGTGGTTTTCTTCCTTACCTTCCATGAGCACGGGTTGGGATACCCCGCGCACTGGTTCCTGTGTGGGCTCCTCAATGAGTGGGGTCTGGAGCTGCAGCACCTTAACCCGACGGGGGTGCTGCACATCGCTGGCTTCGTCACCGTCTGCGAGGCTTTCCTCGGGATGGATCCGCACGTGGATTTCTTCTGGTGGCTGTTCTCTGGGAGAGCTTTAACGGTGGGGAATCTGCCCGAGGTCGCGCCGGTGGGGGGCTTCGCCCTGTAGAGGAAACTGAACGTGGGAGGCTCATATCTCGCGTACATCCCCTGTTACTCCAACCGGGGGTGGCACGGGGAGTGGTTTTATATCAGGAATCCGGTGACGGCACCGTTCTCGGCGTTCACCGGCGGGAGGCCGGAGAAGCAGGA